GGTGCCTGTTCCTCACCTCTCTTCATGTGTTTTACCCCCTCACACACTTTACCCCCACAGTGTTGCAAACACTGCAGGCATGCAGTAAACATGTTTTGAGCATGTCCATTGTATAAGAGGTTTGGCTAGCCTGCTAAATAATACAGTATGAATGAATATTTTCTCCTTTTTGTCAGTGGTTCTCAAAGTTACATGACTCTAAAACTGTATATGTTATAACGATTATAAAATTATTTTCCACAAAAAGAGTATTATGTCAATTATGTAGTTATTTTATAAAATCTAAGACAGGGATGCACATCAGAATCACCTGTAAAGATTTTGAAAAGTAAAAATAACCAAGACTACCTCCAGACATTCTAAAGACATACATGGTTATAAAAGTCTTGCTTTTAAGCATAGAAACTAAAAGAACGACTGCTGATATTATAGAAAATTTATTTTAACATAGGAATTATAATTTTGAATTACATTAGATTGTGTATCATTTTTAATAAAGTTGTATATAAGTTGTACACAGATGAACTATTTAAGCACTAAAGAGTCTCTGTTCTAAAAAGTTTTGGTAACTCACTAAAAAGATTATTAATATACCTTGCTCTTAGAGTTTCTTTATAACTCTTCCCTCATTAAGATAGGTTTAATTATTGTACTGCAAGTAAAGATTAGGAAGAAATTAGGATTTTTTTTGAGAGAGAGATTTTTGCTATAGGGTATGTATGCTTGCCAGAGAGATAGACAAAAAGAAAGTGAGAAATCACACACACACACACACACACACACACACACACACACACACACACACACACACACACACACACCACCCCCACCAGGGACGATGGCCACACCACAATCCCTTTTCCTCCATTCTCCTCTCTGTGTGAGTTTTAAGCTGCTGGGACTCAAACTACAGTCAACCATATGGGAGTCCAACAAGGTAACTATTACATCATCTTCTGGTCCCGAAAATTTGGGAATTTTGAAAAAGTTTTAATGTGTAAATGATTAGTTTTAATAAACTGCTTAAAGTGCCTAATATATGCATTTTCCTTTTACTTTAACGAGGAAAATTTTAAGAACATATCAAATCAGTGGAAACTGATTCAGAACCTTACAGTTTTTCATTGTGTAAAAAATATAAATGTTTCTAGGATTCTCTTGGTATAAGAGTACAGATAGAAACAGATAAACATTTATCTTAAAATAGACTCATTGTACTTGATGTTAAGTCTCAAAAAACTAATATCAATGGGACCAGCAGGTGGGTTGGTGGTTAAGGGTGCTGGTCTCCCACGTGGCCAACTGCGGTTCAAGTCCTGGACCTGGCGGCTTTCTTTCTCACTTTCCCTCTCTCTCTCTGTCTATCTCTCTCTCTCTTTCTCTCACTCTTCCCCTCTCTGGCCATATTAAAGTAAAAATGAATAAAAATAAAGTTATATAAAATAATTCTAAAAAGTAAAAAAATCAATTTATAATTAAAGCATTTTACTTTTTGTTCATAACTTAAATTATGTATTATATCTTAATCCTTTATGTTATACTTTATTATACTTTGCATAGCAGAGCAGAGTTTTGTTTTTGTAAAGATTTAATTCAAATCTCTTTAATACTTTAAGGTATGAAAAATCACATTAATAGAACATCATGGCAATTTATAATTGATTAAGAAGGACACATAACTAAAAATGAAATAATGTGCTTTTTAAATATTTTGGGGGGACTGGTTCTATGGCTTGGTGATTAAGGCACCAGACCGCATATGGCTGACCCTGTGTTCCAGTCCCAGACCCAATGGCTCAAGAAACATACCAGCCTTGGGACCAGCAGTTACCATAATGGCTATGTTACTGGACTCCCACATAGTTGACTGTGGTTTGTGTCCTGAACCCGGTGGCTTAAAACTCACGCCGGGCACGTGTGCGTGTGTGCCCAAGATCCCCAGAGGAGAATGGAGGAGAAGGGATTGCAGCATGGCCATCCCCCCTGGAGGGTGATTTCTCGCTTTCTGTCTCTGTCTGTATGGCGAGCGCACGCGCCCTATAGCAAAAACCTCTTTCAAAAAAAAAAAAAGAAACATACCAGCCTCATGCTTGTGTTCTCAAAATCCTGAAAGGAGGAGAGATGGAGAAGGATTGCAAAATGACCATTTCCCATGCGGAGGTGCTTTTTTCTCTCCCTCTCCCTCTAGCTTTCTCTGACGAGCGCATGTACCCTCTTAGCAAAAAAAAAAAAAAAAAAAAATGAAACAAAAATAAAATTCTTGAATAATTATGACATCCAGATTGCTCATATTTAATTAATCTTGTTTTTTTTAAATAAAGTTGGCTTTTCTAAAATGAAAACTCTGTATATGTACACAATTTATCTAAAACATTTGCATGTAAATAATATATATGTGTTAGTGTTCCTTCATAAAAATGAGGTTTACTTTTGTTGGTTCCATCAGAGATTCCACAAGTTTCCACACTTGAAAGGATCACAAGAATGCCGGTGTGTACTCACATAAGGCTTTTTATTTAAAGGTAAAGGATATTGCCCAGCAAGAAGAGCATAGGCAAGCATAAGGTGTGCAGGGCATAAACCCCCATGGTGTTTATTCATAAACTGACATACTTTGTCTGCAGATTGAACCACCAAGATCTATGCACTGATTCCTGGCTTCAAGAGAGCTCCAGCCAAACTTCCCATCAGGATCTTTTTTTGTCTCTCTGGACACATAGTCTAGCCTGGCTGTCTAGTTATGCCAGGTGAAAATCATCGGTAAACAAATCATCTTTGGAGGTTGCCAGGAAAGATTCAGACTTGAAACAGCACATCATAAATCCCACGGTTCATATATTGGCTAAGAGTCAAGGCCATTCAGGCATCCCAAGAGCGTTCCCAGTCCAGCAGTAAATTTAGCACTATACTACACAGCTTCTGACACCTTCATCAAATAAAAGCCAGGATGATGAGGATAGCTACATTTGTATATACACTACAATTTATAAAGTACTTTAACATGCACTAGCTGATTTGAACTTTATGATAATTCTTTGAACTCTGGGGAAAACTTGTTTCATCTCCATTTTAGGTAAATACTGAGACTCACAGAGGTTAAATGATTGGCCAGTTTCACATAGCTTTGCTGGTGGTAGAACGAGGACTCTAAGAGAATGCTTCTGACTTTTATCTAGAATCTGTTTCAACATTTCTTGCCAGAAGTAGATAAAAAGAGCTACTTACTTATTTTCTAACTAGTCTGTTAAACAATGTAGGAATGAATACATTTATGTAAAACTACCATTTATTTTTCTTTGAAAGAAAAGTAGTTGACTACGTGGGAGTCCAACAACATAGCCATCCATTATGCCAAGTGTTGGTCCCAAGTTAGCATTGATTTTATCAAATCTTTTTTCTAATTTTTTATTCTTTATGGTCTATGAAGAGAGTGTTCATTTATCTTTTTTCTCTTATTAACTTATTTTCTTTTTCAGGCAAGCCAAGTTAGATCTAAGAGTTGCAGCAGCAAAAGTGGAAGAGTTAACTAAAGTGACTGAAGATCTTCAGGAACAGATGCAAAAGAAGGTATTATCTATTCCTAAGACAATTAGATGCCAGTAGCTTCGTTTTCTTTATATTTTATTGTTCATTTATTTTGGATTAGGTATCAAAGAGAACTGTTTAAAGATGAGCTAATCATTTTATTGCCCCTTAACTGTAAAATATGAAAGTAAAAAGCTAAATTACAATGTTGGAAACAAATTCATAAAGATTTTTTTATTTCCATTCTTTTTGCTTAATTCAATAGAACATCATAATCATCTCTAAGCACATCATTACTAAAATGCAAATTAGTATAAGGTCAAGTTTTGGATAATTGGCCATATGTAGATGAAAGAGAAATGTTAATACTAGATTTTATGTTATTAAAATATTTAGTGAAATAATAGATTCTGGCTCTTTTTATATGTAATAATTTCAAGAGGATGTCAAGGTCAGGCCTTAGTTTTAGACGGATGTAATTATTAAAGGTTCCATTTTTGGCACTTACTAAGCTGTGTAACTTTCTAAGCCTTAATTCCTGATCTATAAAATCTGTTTATAAATTTCTAATAATAGATTTTTGAAAAGGTTATAAGAACCATCCCCATGATAAACAATTATAAAAATCAGATAAAATTTTTTAAAACATAGAAAAAGCACTCAAAAACATAAAGAAGTAAAAGAGGAGGAAGGAATTGTTAGTTTGGGAATTTTTTTGTTTTTAGTGGCCTTTTTTTTTTTTTTTTCCATTTTGTTTTTGCTATGGGGTGTATGCGTTCACCAGAGAAAGACAGAAAGTTAGAAATCCTCCCCAAGAGGGAAAGCCCATTGCAATACTGTCCTTCCAGTCTCCTCTTGGGATTGTGAGTACACATCACACACAGCTAGTGTGATTGTCAAGCATTCATATCCAGGACTCAAACCATGCAAACAGTAATGTGAGATCCAGTGCCTTAACCTCCATGTTTATGGATTTCTGACCTGATGACATTTTCCAGTCTCCATGACTGTGGCTTCAGAAAATATGTTTTAAGGACTTAGGGTACCCATGATCAAAGCTTAAGGCTAGGAAGGCAGTTAGAAATTTAAGGAGGATATGCTGGCAGCAGAGAACTACAGAAACTTGAGACCCTAATTCTGGGTGTAAAGCTCTTACCAAATCCATGCACAGCAGCTAAACTGCATATCAGAGTTGAGGAGGGATCCCAAGGATTCCTGTGAAGAAGCAAGCAGAGACCTGAGAGAAATCTATTACTGAAAGATAGAGGTATATAGAGCTAGATGTTGAGCTTGGTACTTTTTAAAACCCAGAATATTCTAAAGATGTGTGTAAATGAGGCATGAGAAAACTGAAACATTTGGCTGGTCCTATAGCCTGGTAGTTAAGGGAGCTGGATCCTATATGGCCGACTACACAGTTTGAATCCCAGACCAGGGGGCTTGAAAAATATACTGGACACATCTGCATGCAGGCCCAAAATGCAGAAAGGATGGAAAAACAGAGGAGAAGGGATTATGGTGCGACCATAACCCACTGGGGTGGGCTTTCTCCCTCTCCCTCTCTTGATGTTTCTCTGTCTCTCTCTGGCAAGCACATGTACTCTCTGGCAAAAAATCAAAGAAGGAAGAAAACTGAATCCTTGTTGTGTGAAGTATCAGAGAGTAGAGCCCAGAGCTGGGATAGCAGCTGGAAATTGCAGGAGGCTCTTTAGGAGCAAAGAAACCACAAAGAAGGAGAGCCCTGTCTCTGCCCACATCTTGACTGATCCTCAAATTATGCAGGCACCAGGCATTCCCTAGGGATCTAGCTGTAAAAGGAGTATTAGAAACCAATAAGAACTACACAGAGATATCAGCCATTACATACTATACTCTAGAGGGAACAGATTTCAGAGTTCAAGTCTGAGGAAGGTATTTACCTATCTAAACAACAGCAACAACAAAAGGCCATAACCCTCAAAAGAACAAATGAGAATCCAGAGCAACAGCAATGCTGTTACCGATATTATCTGATTACCTAATTTTCAGCCTAACATTACTAGGCAGAAAGGTCTGACTGTACTTGGTTGGCACAGGGGTGGAGGGAAGACTCAATAGAAACTGACTCTCGGAAGACCAGCTGATTTAGCAGGAAGAGGCTTAAAATCAGCCATTGTAAATATACCCAAGAATTAAAGAAAAATCTGTTTTTTTTTTTTTTTTTGAGAGGTTTTTGCTATAGGGTACATGCACTCGCCAGAAAGACAGAGAGAGAGACAGAAAGCAAGAAATCACCCCCCAGGGAGGATGACCACGCTGCAATCCCTTCTCCTCCATTCTCCTCTCGGGATCTTGGGCATGCACACACACGCACCCGTCATGAGTTTAAGCTGCCAGGTTCGGGACACATACCGTGGTCGACCACATGGGAGTCCAGTGAAATAGCCATTACGCTAATTGCTGGTCCTGAGAAAAATCTGTTTTAAAATTAAAGTAAAATAAGGTCTCAGTGAAGAAAGAGATAGAAACATTTTATTGAGACCTAGAAAATAATTTTTAAAATAGAAATTCTAGAATCGTAAGTACAGCATCTGGGTGGCTCTGTGGCACAGTGCTAATGAGCTGTCTGAGAAAAGCGGGATCCCACATGGCATACTCTGTTCAAATCCCTAGCCTGGACAGCCTGAGACATGCCAGGAACGTGTGAGTGCCCAAGATCTGACAGGCTAGAGGACTGGACAAGGGAATTACACTGTGACCAGATGCTATGGGAGATGCTTCTCTGTCTCTGTCTTTCTCTTTTCTCTCCCTTCTCTCTCTCCCTCTCATGTGCACACTCTATTAAGAATAAAGAAAAAGTGGGACCAGCAATTAGCATAATGGCTATGTCGCTGAACTCCCATGTAGTCGACCGTGGTTCGCCTCCCAGACCCCAGTGGCTTAAAACTCACACCGGGCGCATGTGCGTACGTGCCCAAGATCCTGAGAGGAGAATGGAGGAGAAGGGATTGTGGCGTGGCCATCCCCCTGGGGAGTGATTTCTCACTTTCTATCTCTCTGTCTCTTTCTGTCTGTCGAGCGCACGCACCCTATAGCAAAAACCTCTCCAAAAAAAAAAGAAAAGAATAAAGAAAAAGTGAAGAAACTGAAATAAATTTTCACTAGATGGACTCAAACATAGATTGGGAAAGACTGAAGAAATAATCAGTGAACTTGAAGGCCGATCAATACAAATTTTCTTGCCCAAAGAATAAAGAGTTGACTATTATCAGGCGTGCAGAACACAATGTAATGTTCAATGTTGAAGATAAATGTATATCCTTGATTAGATTATTACACATTGTATGCATGCTATAATTACTGTATTTCACAGAGATGTACATGGAATATGTGTGTACCAGAAATCATAATTTTTTTAAAATATGAAGAAAAATATGCAGGACCTTGGGGATCTGTGGGACAATATGAAGCAATCCAACATAAATGTACCTGGAATTATAGAAGGAAGATGGAATGGAGCAGAAAAAAAAATATTTAAAGAAATAATTGGTGGAAAATATTAACAGATCCAAGAATCTCAGTGAACCCCACGTAGGATGAACACACAAAAAAATAACGTAGTCACATTGTGGTAATACTGACAGCCAGTTATCAAGAGAAGAAGTGACAGCAATAGAAAAATGACCTGAACAGGGAAGCTATAAGATTAATGACTGAATTCTCAAGAACCATGGGAGCAGAAAACATTGGAATAATATATTTAAAGTTCTGAAAGAAAAAAATGCTCACCAAGAATTTCATATCCTGGGACCAGTGGATGGCACAGTGGTTAACATCACTGGACTCCCATGTAGTCAACAGCAGTTCAAGTCCCAGACCTGGAGACTTAAAACTCACGCAGGGCGTGTCTTGTGTGTGTGCCCAACATCCTGAGAGGAATATTGAAGAGAAGGGATTGCAGCATGGCCATACCCCCTGGGGGATGTTTTCTCACTTTCTGTCTCTCTGTCTCTGCCTCTCTCTCTCTAGTGAGCACAAGCACCCCAAAACAAAAATCTCTCTTAAAAAAAAAATCCTGTGTCCAATAAAACCATACTTCAGAAATGAAGACACCGGACAGCTCTGTGGCACAGTGATAATGTGCTACTCAAGAAAAGCCAGATCCCACATGGAAACATGGTACACGCCCCTGGCCTGGTCAGCCTGAAATATGCAGGGCACGTGTGTGAGTGCCCAAGATCAGGAGGGCCAGAGGACTGGAGGAAGGAGATTGCAGTGTGTCTAGACTCTGTGGAGAATGCCTCTCTCTCCGTATCTCTCTCTCTCTGTTATGTGTGCACACTCACATTTTATCATGAATAAAGGAAAAAAAAAATAAAGACAAAAATAAAGCCATTTTCAAATAAAAACAGAATTTGTCCCTGGCAGACCTGCATTTCAAATAACTCTGAAGGAAGATTTTTAGGCTGAAAGGAAGTGACACCAGATGGCAACTCAGATACAGGAAAAAATTAAAAGCAAGAGAAATGGTAAATATGAAATAATATATGTACATATTTTTCCTTTCTCTTAATATTTTTAAAATACATGACTACTTGAAGCAAAACTTGCAAGACTGTTGGATTTGTAAAGTGTGCAGATGCAGTATGGGACAGCAGGGGCACTAAGGACGTGGAAATGCATTGTTGCAAAGGCCTGAGGTTTTCTCTGAAGTCATTAAATATGATTGCTAAATAAGTCAGAATAAGTTAAAATGATGCATTTTCACATAACCACTGAAAAGTAATTCAAATAGAGATAGCTAAAGCAATAAAGAAATGCTGGGCTAGCAGGTGGTATGGTGGTTAAGGTGCTGGACTCTCCCACATGGCACACCACGGTTAGAGTTACACCTAGTGGCTTGCTTTCTCACTTTCCCCCTCTCTTTCTGTCTCTCTCTGGTGAACATATGCACCCTATAGCAAAATTTAAAATAATAATAAATGAAATTAAATATTTTTAAGCAATAGAGAAATTAAAATGGTATAAAAAAAACTTAACACAAAAGGAGTCAAGAAAGGATGAAAAAGGGGATAGCAAGTGAACAAGAGAGAGTCAGGACGTTAGTGAGAAATAGAGAGGGCTTATAAACTGTTGATGATGACATGTATAGTATTCTTA